AGAGATAAAGGACATTTTAAACAGGCAAATAAGTAAGAAAGAATTTAGAAATGTTTTGAAACAAATGAAAAACGAAAAAGCAGCGGGTCAGAATGGACTCTCCATTGAATTTATAAAGGGACTACCGGATAGCTGGATACAAACAATAATAGAAATTTTCAATGAATTATGGGACAAGAGCAAAATTTTAGGGGGTTGAGAAATAGCACGAATTTACCCAATATTTAAAAGTAGTGAGGAGACTAAAAATTATAGGGGCGTATCGCTGCACATGAGCTATAAATTTTCTTTTTATTAATTCCATGTAAATTTACAATCTGTCTCACATAGTGAGACAATAAGCAAACGTTTCTATTACTCGACATACACAATATAAATAACAGAATACTCCAGTGAGTATGCTGTTGTTGTTTACAGTTTTTGCATATTTAACTTAATCTATTTTGTCGTTCATCAGTTTATGTTTCTCAAGTCTAGTGTTGGTAATCTCTTCCGAGAGCAGTTTGCTAATAAGTTCGTTTGAGTGGTTTTATAGTAGGTGTGGTATTTTTTGTAGAAATTGATTATTTCTTCGTTTACTGTTGTAATCTGTAAGTCTTTTCGAATAATCTCGTTTATCTCGAGCTATAAATTAATGATAAAAATAATGGCCGGAAGGATCAGTGAATGGGCAGAGAGCAATAAGGTTTTTAGGGAAAGCCAAACAGGATTCAGAGGGGAAAGAGGGACGAGAGAGCACATTTTTGTAATGAATTCGATTATAGGCAATAAGCTTAAAAGGAAAGGAAGGAATTTGTATTTAGGATTCATTGATTTAAAAAATGCGTTTGACAGAGTAAATAGGAATAAAATGTTAGAAAAATTACAAAAAAGGGGATAAGAAGGAAAATGTTACAGATGATAAAAATAATTTACAAATCTACAAAGAATGAGGTAATATCTAGTGAGAAGTTATCAGAGAGTTTCGAGACTAACCTATTCTATTTATTCATGGACGATATCGACGATATTAGGGAAAAGAAAGAAATAGGAGATACGATAGTGGGAGGTAAAAAATTTTATTGTTTAAAGTTCACGGATGATATTATAATTGTGGCGAATAATGAGAAAGGAATGAAGGGAATGTTGAAAAAAACAGAGATTTACAGTGACGTGAAAAGGATGGAAGTTAATACAAAGAAAACTGAGATAATGATTTGTTGTGAAGGAAAAATAGGCAAAGAGAGGGTTTTTACATACAAAGGCAAAAAAGTGGAGGTAGTTAGGGAATTCAAATATCTGGGGTACTGGTTCACTCAAAAAAATGTGAATACAACACATATAAATAAAATAACAGGGAAAGCAAGTAGGGCAATTAATACGGTGTGGGATATTTTAAAAATGGCAAAAATAGAAAAGCTAAGGAAAGACTATATCTTTTGGACAGTCTAATAAAAGAGGATTGTTTAGATGGGATAGAGATTTGGGGGTGGTAGAAATGGAAAAATATTAAGAGGATACAAAGGAAATTTATAAAAATGGCCATGGGATTAAATAGTAACATGCCAAATTATATAGTTGCCATGGAAGTAGGTAGGGCATCGATGGAGTTACAGACAGCTAGGAGGGCAATGGAGTATTTGGTTGAGATAGAAAAAATGGAAGAAGGGTGATGGTCGAAAATTTGTTTGAGGGAGGAAGCATACTAAATAATAGTCCAACGAAATGGGGAAAGAATATGGGGTAAAAAAGAAGTATAAAAAATAAAGGGCAAAATAGAGGGAGGGGTAGAAAGAAAGGCAGAACAAGAACTACAGAGCCTGTGGAGCAAAATAGACGGGTCAACATATAGCGAACTTTTTAAAAAACTGAAAGAGACGCTGGGGGAAGAGGTTTATTGGGAGGACCGAAAATTCTGGGATGGATAAAAGAACAATGGACGAGAATAAGATGTGGGAACGTGGGCAGAGAACGGGCGAAAGGGTATAAAGAAAGTGAGTGCAGATTCTGTGGAGGAAAAGAAGAGAACTTGGAGCATATGTTAGAATGTAGGAAAGCAAGAGAGGAAATAGGAGGTAGGTGGGTAAGGGGGCTTGAGGAGCAAGAAATTAATGGTACGGAAAGGGAAAATAACAATAAATTAATTGGAATATTAATCGGGAGCCCGAATAGAGCAATTTGTAACTATGTATATATATTCGAGAAGTTGACCAATCGAGGAGAGATAGTGAGCATCCTGAATAAGGCAGTAATGTAAAGAGCAAATAAGGGAGAGGAAAAGTATATATGTGCAAATATTTATATTGTTAAAGCGATTATAGATGGATTATATTGTTACGAAGCGTTTGAATTGAGGTAGTTTAATTTCTTAGACTTTAAGTGTTAATGTAAAGTAAAAAATTTTGTAAAAGGCCGTGAATGCTGTACATGAGCAAATAAAATACTATACTATACTATGTTATATCTGCAAAGTAAAATTCAAATATATCTAGAGATAGAAAATAGTTCATTATTTACCAAAAATTACTCAACATCTGCCGTAATAAACGTTATTCCTGATTCAGCAGTCAGTATATTATGTATATAATACAGTAGAATAAACAATACTGGCACACTTTTTAAAATGGACTTCGAAGTCAAGTGACATTGTCGGTGCTATACATGGAGACTATAACCATGATAGTCAGCATAATGTATAAGATATGCAGTGCCGAATCGACCATCCCCCTACGGCCCTGACCCTTACTCTACATAATTGACAGCACCAACTTACTAATGGGCCGTAAACGACTTACTGATAGGGAGAAATCTACTGAATAATTTACGACTTCTTGTATTTCACAATCTTATGTTTGACAAAATTCTAGCATTAGGTAAAATAGATGATTTATGATTACATAAAATACATAAAGCACAAAATTGCATACATCCAACCATAAAAAATTACATTCATATACCATTTACATAACATTTACAAGGAACATTATAAATAGAATTTAGATTGTTTTCGTAGACTTTTGGCTTTCTTTTTTTTTGTATTGTAAATTTCATTATGCCTTTTGAATATCATCTTCACACGTCCCTCCAAATAATAAAAAAAAGGAATTTAAAAGTAAGATGTTTAGAATGTGTTTGAAATTACGAGTGAGATAGTGAAATAACGCTGTCAATGAGCAAGGGTACGGCGGACAGTAAATAAGGTTCAGAAAATGTTTGCCCCCCTTACCCCAGCCAGCAAAGTATAATGGACAGTGAAAAAAAATACCATTCGAAATATCTCACATTGAACTCTCCAAAAATACTCATTATTTTAATTAAACCTCTTCAGTTGTCCTAAAAAAAATTAAAAACTATGATAATTTTTTCCTTTTTTGCAACTACGATATCTTTAGTAATATTTAATATTTTTGCAAAGAAACAAGACAAAAAAATTGAACCTTTGCTCGTTTTAATTGCACCGCTCTTACTTTTTCAAAATTATTAATATATATGTCAAAAACAACAATCTAATTTTATTGTATGTTCTTTCCAAATAACCCAATAATCTATTTGGAAAGAACATACAATAAAATTAGATTTAGACAGATTTACAATTATATGTTTTAGACATATATATTAATAATTTCGAACAAGTAAGAGGGGTGTAATTAAAACGAGCAAAGGTTCAATTTTTTGTCTGTTTCTTTGCAAAAATATTAAATATTACTAAAGATATCGCAGTTGCAAAAAACGAAAAAATTATCATAGTTTTTAATTTTTTTTAGCACAACTGAAGAGGTTCAATCAAAATAATGAGCATTTTTGGAGGGTTCAATTAGAGATATTTCGAATGGTATTTCTTTCACTGTCCATTACGCTTTGCCGGCTGGGTTAAGGGGGGTAAAATTTTTGTAAAGGGAGAATAGGTTTGCTGACTCTTCCTGTATAGTGTCCTTGGTGCTTTTGCTTTAATACCTTAATGCTCTTGCGCATTCGCAGTGCGCGAATATAATAGACGACATTGTCTATGATAAATTTTAATGTTTGTTTTTAACATTCAATAGTTTTTAAAAAAATTATTGAATATTTTCAATTTTAGTCAATCGAACAATTAAATTAGTTTCAAAAATAAAAAATGCAGATTAATAAAAGATCTGTATGTGTTTAAATTCGTCAAATCTATAGAAATATGATTATTAATTTTACCAAAAATCTAATACTAAACAAATTAACTTGATTGCGTTAAAGTGGATAAATCAAAAGCAATCGACTGACATATATATATATATTTCATTAATTAATCGCGCAGGCTGGTTTAGGAGTCGGTCTCCATAGCTGATCACCTCCAGTTCAGTCTCAGAAAATATTCAAGATAAAAAAAATAATAATTTTCAATAGAGTTGAATTTGTTCGGTTCACTTATGTTAGCCAAATAATTTTTTCGCATTATAATTAAAAAATATATATATGAAAGTGTTTCTTTATTACAAAATTTCTAACGATAATATCTTGCAGAAATATCAATATTTATTCAATCCTAACATCTTAAAAAGTTACTCACTATTACAAGAAATTTATCCCGTTATAATATATTTGAAAAATTCATTATTTTTTATAAAAAAATTTAAATGATATAAATACACTAATCAGCACCCGCAGACAACTCTTCAAGTTGACGCATGCCTAAGACGATTGTTTGAATTGCTTATGATATCAATTAAATTATTCAGATTTCTTTATAAAAAATAATGCACTTTTCGAATATATTATGACGGGACAAATTTCTTTTGATAGTGAGGAATATTTTAAAATGTACGGATTGAACAACTATTAATATTTTGGCAAGATATTATTGTTTAAAATTTGCGTAAAAAAGAAACATTTTCATTTTTTTTTTTTGGAAAATGTAATAAGAGCAAATTATTTAGTTAACATATATAAACCGAGCAAATTTGACTCTATTGAAAATTATTTTTGCTTTTTTTTTTATTTTGAATATTTTCCGGGGCTGATCTGGGGATGGTCTATATCATGGAGACTGTATACAGTCTCCATGGTCTATATACTAAGTAAGCTAAGTAGTGAGTTCTATTTTTCTTTCTTTCTGTCTCATACCTTCGACAAGTAGTACAACATAAATATATAACATGAAGGTAATGATCAAAAATTATCATATTAATCCTTATTAACATATTAAACATTGCATGGAATATAAGAAGGAAATCATATTGGCCTATTGGTTGGATAGTTATTATTTGGTATTTAATGGTTGTACATTTAAATATTAGTAAAATATTTTTCACTGGTTTTTTAGGTTAGATCTACTATGTTTCTACGTACAATTTAGATTTGTTTATTATGTAGTTTTCAACAATTATTTTTGTTTTATGCATCTACTATCATAATTTATTTGATCAAATGAATGAAGTTTACATTTAATTAATATAAACATTATCAAACGTTAAAAAAATTTTCAGTTTTTTCTAATATTTAAATTTATCGTGGCTTCATCAAAAACAACAATTTAAAATTTGCATATTTCAATATTTTTTATAAAAATTAATTGATTAGAAGGCAATAATTCGTATATTTTACGTAAATCTATATTTTCTATAAAACATTAATAATTATTTACATATATTCTTAATTTCTTATTGGATAAGGAAAAGTTATTTTAATTATTACACAGTGAATGAAAGATGTTTGGTGAATGAACATTCGCTTGATTTATTGTAACATAAAAATGATTTAATATTAAAAGTAAATAATTGATATAATTTCAGATCTTTACTTAAGTACCAAAAATATTTCTGTACTGTTTTTATTTAATTTCTTTTAATAAACAAATTTTATTTAATTTTCTTTAATAAACGAATGTTGGTATTAACAGTACATGTTAAATTTGTTAAACATAACATTGTTAAAAACATGTCATAAGACGAGGATGAATGTTTTAAAAATATGAATAAGTTTTATTATATTTTATATAATTGAATACTGAAAGTTATATATACATATGAAAATACTTCAAAACTCATTTAATCACTTTGAAAGCCTCTTATATTTTAATTTTCTACTCTGTTTAGAAATAATATCTCAATGGTTGTGATATTTATGCAATGCTGTAAATATTTAAATTTTTTCATAAAATTTTGATTTATTGTCTATTAAATATTTTATTTGATTTTGCTGGTAATAGATAATGATCTTGTCTATATGGCAGTTTCAATTTTGAGGCATGAATTATTAAGTTGCTAAACTTCTACTATTAAGGAAATTTGTCAAATGATACAAGAGGATTCAAAATATTGTTTATTTATAATTTTAGCACAATAAAATTTTTTGTTTAATTTAATGGTTTATATCTTTTTCTCTTATTATCTATTAAGATGATCTTGGCTGCATTAAATTTCTAAGAAAATCTTGCATAAGGATCATGACATATCGGTAGCAAAATTAATTAAATTTTTTTCAGTAACAATATTTTGCATTATGTGTAAAAATGTTAAAAGTTATAAATTATCATATCTTTCAATTTTTAATACATTCCACTAATGTTCTCAGAATTAAAATCAAATGTTTGATAATGTATTAGTTATAAATTTTTTTAATTCTATACAAAATATTTATTTTCAGTTGAACGTTTCTTACCCTGCAACTGGGTGTCAAAAACTTTTTGAAATCGCAGATGAACATAAACTAAGGATATTTTACGAGAAACGTATGGGGGCCGAAGTTGAAGCTGATTCATTGGGTGATGAATGGAAAGGTTATGTTGTGCGCATAGCTGGTGGAAATGACAAACAAGGATTTCCAATGAAGCAAGGTGTTCTGACAAATGGTATTTATATTTTTTGAGTATATCTTTATTGAAACTTAAATCGATTGACAAGTATTATTTTTACTTTTTCTAACTGATGATTCTATAGTTTTAAAGAAATAGTTATGCTGGAAATTTGCATTTGAATGGATTGTGTATTCAATCTCCATGGAAATTTCAGTTTTCTACTATCAGATCTTATATCAAGATTTTTATCATTTCATTGTGGATTACTGAATCTAAAAGTTAGATCCTATTTTTGTTGGTTTTCATTTATCGTAATATGTAATTTTGATTACCTAAAAATTTTGTATTGAAATATTATTTCATTGGATTATTGAATGGTTTTTTAATATTTGGAATAAATTTCTCCATCCGTCAATTTAAATGCTACTATAATAATATTCAGGCAGATGTATATGTATTCTGAAATACACTGGAGTAGGGGTATCGTTCAAATCTTTTATTGATAAATTTACAAGCAATGCTGAGGGATATGCTTATTTTGGTTATTGCTCTTTTTATGTTCTTTGATGATTTCATCAAACCATTCATAAAATTATTAGCTCTTTCAAATTTATAAATTTTCAAATAGTAATGCTTAGTTTTTATATAGATATATAAGTTGGAATTGAATTTCACCTTTGACTATCTCTAAATTTATTTAGAATCTCTATGACTAAATCAAGAATTTTCTTATGACAGTATTCATAAATATGGTTGATTATAATGTCTTTAACTACAGTCCTCTCTATGTTTGGTTTTATGTATATTGGATTATTAGTATTATTTTTTACTTCTTTAGCCTGAATTCCATTATCTGTTGGTTCTAATTGTGAAGATTTCAACCTCACTTAGGATCTAAATATTACTTTATCTAAATTCTGCTGTACTAATTTTCCATTAATTATGCATTTAACAATTGTTATTGAATATTATTAACCAACACGTTTTTTTTACATTCAATTTGTCTTTGAAGTTTCTAGGATTAAAATGGACTTCTAAATCATGTTTTCAGAGTCTGAGGAAGCTATAATTATAATATATTGTTATTGTGACTTCAAGAACTATGTTCACTTGGAACATTGCAAAGGTATACTTAGTACCTGCACGTATTAATTTTGGTTACCATTAGTCATGATTACATAATTTGAATTACAAAACTATGTCAATAATGATTTGTTTTCAAAAAAGTTTAATTATTCATGAATCAAAAATAAAACTAGTTTTGTTATTTTTATTAATTATTGTCTAATTATTATGTTCATTTAGTAACATTTTATAAATTAGATATACATAGTTACAATAACATACATGCCAGAATTTAAAAGTTATGAAAATGCATTTACACATAGTAGAAGATTTCAATTATCATGTGCAATGATTTAATAAAAAATTTTTTTGTTTGATTGATTCAGATCATTGTTTAAAAATGTATGAATTTTCATATTAACAAATGATATATCTGCTTTTTTTTATAATTGCAATCTGAAATTTTCTATTCAAAGAATTTAGAAAAATTAAACTTTTGACGCTTTAAACATTCAGTTGATATTTTATTCACAGGAATAAAATACTTATCTTATATAAATTATTTACAACTCAAAAGGACAAATGAGTATGAAAAGGCTCTTGGAACTGGTATTCCAGTGGTTGAGGGGAGGAGGGGCTAAATGTAGGGAAGGAACATTGAACCAAGGAGTTTGAAACCTCAAAACTGTTCCACCCTCTTTATTTCAGTTTATCTTTATTTTCAATCAATGAATCTATTGATATACCGAACTTAAAGGGTTTCATTGATGCAATTATTTTTAAACTATTTATATTATTTTGCGAGCTATTATATGTATATTATTAATTATTTTACTTTTTATTAATTACTTTTATTAATTTAATTGAATTATCATTAATTATTTTTATGCTTTTTTATCAAATTAGGATTTTGTTTTATAGATCAGGATAAACAAATACGAAATATAAAATAAACACAAAAAATACAATAATTACGCAATTTTCATTCGTCCAGGTAGCTGGGTAATTCTTGGCTATTTCGATTGACTTGTAACCCTTAGGTTATGGATTTTTTTTTAATTTGGCACAATTGTTGTACACATAAAATTGAGATTTTCCCAAATTTTGCAGACGATACATTAATTATGTCAAAAGTTATTAACAATTAAAAAAAAATGATAAAAAATTTTTAAACGGCTATATTTTAAAACCTAATAAAGATATCGAAGTAGGATTGTTTTCAAAATACTTATAATGCCTTAAAATTTCGAAATAATTACAACAATAAACAATAAAAAATTTTTTTCGAAAGTTATTAACTTTTTGTTTAAACAGTTGCTAATATCTCAAAAAGCATATTTTTTTTTTGAAAAATTCTTACTCCTGCGTGTTCCTGAGGATTTTTGCTATCGAAATCAATCATAAAATTCAAGGGCCTGACATATCGGAAAGCGTAGTCTTAATCAAAAGAAGACGCCTCGGCGTAAGGCTGCGATAGCGCTCCAGCGGACTCATGGTCGAAAGGCACTTTAGCTTTAATCTAAAAAACTAATAAAGATATCGAAGTCGGATTTTTTCCAAATTACTTATAATGCCTTAAAATTTCGAAATAATTACAACAATAAACAATAAAAAATTGTTTTCGAAAGTTATTAACTTTTTGTTTAAACAGTTGCTAATATCTCAAAAAGCATATTTTTTTTTTGAAAAATTCTTACTCCTGCGTGTTCCTGAGGATTTTTGCTATCGAAATCAATCATAAAATTCAAGGGCCTGACATATCGGAAAGCGTAGTCTTAATCAAAAGAAGACGCCTCGGCGTAAGGCTGCGATAGCGCTCCAGCGGACTCATGGTCGAAAGGCACTTTAGCTTTAATCTAAAAAACTAATAAAGATATCGAAGTCGGATTTTTTCTAAATTACTTATAATGCCTTAAAATTTCGAAATAATTACAACAATAAACAATAAAAAATTGTTTTCGAAAGTTATTAACTTTTTGTTTAAACAGTTGCTAATATCTCAAAAAGTATATTTTTTTTTTGAAAAATTCTTGCTCCTGCGTGTTCCTGAGGATTTTTGCTATCGAAATCAATCATAAAATTCAAGGGCCCGACATATCGGAAGGCGTAGCCCTAATCAAAAGATACCTCGGTGTACGTCGCAACGGCAGCGGGACGTCTTCGTGGTCTTACGCTGAGGCGTTTTCTTCTAATAGGCCAATCAATGAAGATTTTTTCGTGACATTAATACTATCAGCAAACCGACTATGCAAAGTTGTTTAATACTATGCGTAGATGAAAACGTATATGTTTCCAACTCGCAACTTTCATTTAATAACTTTTTACAGCCGTTTGAAATTTGCAAAAACATGTTTTTCGCGTATAAAACCAAAACTATTGAAGTTAGGTATGTACCTCAATGGAATAAGTTATAGATAATAGAATTATCTATAAAATGAGCTATCGCTCATCTCAATCGAGTAACTAATAATCAATATAATTGCAAAAAACATCAAAATTGATCAAAAAAGGTAACATTTCAAAAATTCATATCTCCTCATAGAGTGATGTTGAAAGAATTAGCTTATGATATTTTGTAGATTGCATTGTTTTCTTCATGTATGCTAAATCTGAGCTATATATAATTATTAGTTTCGGCACTACAGTAATGACAATTAAACCTTTTTTTTTTAGTACATCTTGCATAATGCCCTGTGGCTCAGCCGTTAGAGTTATACATTATTTGAAAAAAGTTTTTTAAAGCTCAATAATCAAACTACAACTTTGTCATTTGAACTTTTGCTCTAAAATCAGTTTAAAAGGGTGAAATTTGTCGTTGAATATCGGGCAAAATGCGCCCGAGCGTCAAAGAAAGCGAGTGGTGGGAGATACAGATCCCGTGGAGGGGAAGTAATATATAGTAATAGAAAAGCCAGGCGCTCGGCGTTTGACTTGAATATTACTTATTTTGATATTATTTACGCTATTTTACTGAAATTTTTTTTATTTTTCAAATTAATTAAGTACGTATTCGATATTTGTTAAATAAATAATACGAAACATATAAATATATGTATATATTTTATTATAATGTAGGCAAATAGTAATTTATATTTATTTATAATATATTCATCCCCATAAAAAATGTAGTAATTTCATTAACATTTAAACAAAATACATGTTCATTTTTGGTAATTATATATTTGTATTTATCACATTATAAGTGTCCTTAAAACGTAACGGTTATTTTTATAAATATTATAAATAATATCTCAAACTGTTAATTTCAATAAAATAGCGTAAATAATATCAAAATAAGTAATATTGAAGTCAAACACCGAGCGCCTGGCTTTTCTATTACTATATATACTTCCCCTCCGCGGGATCTGTATCTCCCACCACTCGCTTTCTTTGACGCTCGGGCGCATTTTGCCCGATATTCAACGACAAATTTCACCCTTTTAAACTGATTTTAGAGCAAAAGTTCAAATGACAAAGTTGTAGTTTGATTATTGAGCTTTAAAAAACTTTTTTCAAATAATGTATAACTCTAACGGCTGAGCCACAGGGCATTATGCAAGATATACTAAAAAAAAAAAGGTTTAATTGTCATTACTGTAGTGCCGAAACTAATAATTATATATAGCTCAGATTTAGCATACATGAAGAAGACAATGCAATCTACAAAATATCATAAGCTAATTCTTTCAACATCACTCTATGTGGAGATATGAATTTTTGAAATGTTACCTTTTTTGATCAATTTTGATATTTTTTGCAATTATATTGACTATTAGTTACTCGATTGAGATGAGCGATAGCTCATTTTATAGATAATTCTATTATCTATAACTTATTCCATTGAGGTACATACCTAACTTCAATAGTTTTGGTTTTATACGCAAAAAACATGTTTTTGCAAATTTCAAACGGCTGTAAAAAGTTATTAAATGAAAGTTGCGAGTTGGAAACATATACGTTTTCATCTACGCATAGTAATAAACAACTTT